GTCTCGTCACTTTGCAAAGGTATTTGCATGTTGATAGTCTCCTTTCGATCTTGCGCATTGGGGTCCTAAGCGGATTGCCTGAGAACGTTGTGCTGATCTACATTCCTTACTAGATCCTCAGTCCGCCCACAATGATCTTGGTCCCTGCCAGTGCCAAAACCCTCTGTGATACCATTCGGAACTCCATTGGCGAGCCCCCGGAAGAACCTGCTAAATGCATTCAGTGGTTCGCAGCGCTCCTCATCGTGACCGGCCGCAACCAAAGACATCCCCGAGCAGTGCCAGACGCGGCCGTAGCCAACATCATATCATGCATTCTCCCGCCAGCCACTCCTATAAATTCTGCAACTACGACTTCAATCCCGCCTCTGCCATCAGCTGAAAGAGTGCAATTGCTTCTCGATTGGCGCAAGGGCGAGCGTGCGGTGGGAGTGGCGGGCCTCGCACAGATCTTTGCACCGGTATCAGGACAACTCCCGAGCCGCCGGGAGAAGGACATAGTGTATGTGATGGGCATTAGTGGGGATCGAGAGGAGATAGTGAGACATTTGACCGAGGCCATGGAACGCCCCACATGCACAAAATGGATTAAAGTTGCGAGGGATACATTTGCGGCATGTAAGGACAAGACGATCGTCCGGTACTACATCGGGCAATCCACGAAAGACCTACTCGGTCGCTACGCTGCCAAAGACCTCGACCTTATTGATCACATCAGCATGACACTATATGCAGTCTTTGGACCGGGGACCTCATTAAGCTCATCATCCAGCGTCTCCTTCTTCGCCACCCCGATCGTTGCCTGCAAGGGCATTGTGACCCTTTCAACCGGCGCTCACCTCCGCCACGACATCGAGTGGGCCTTGATTACGTTTTTACGGAGCTCTAGGCCGGAGAACGTACTCAACTACCTCGGGGGGGAATGCAGAGGGGTTAGTCCGGAATGTATGATTCTCCGCCCGTTTTCTGTAGATGTTGAACCTGACAATGATCAACAGGGTCGCTGTTCAGCGACAAGTACGATGGAGTCTCTTCGAGGGGTGCCTACTTCCCAGCATGTTCGGGCAAGATGATGACCATTGGAAATCGCAGTTTATCCCTTCATCAAACGGGAGAGAGAGGTGCAGCGGGGTGCCTACTGGAGCTCGCAAACGGCGGTCAAGCTGTCCGAATCTACTCCCACGTCGAGCATCGGGTTCTCTGGTGTCACCGGTTGGAATTGTGTGCAGCATGGACCGACCAGTTCGAGCGGATGTTTGAGCGCGACATCAAGCTGGGGAAGGTACCTGCTAGGGGTTCGTAGCTTTCATTTGTATCGCCTGGCTCATGCGGCTGATTTATTGCGGCAGCGCTTGAGGTGTGAAAGGAGCATGGCAGACTTGACAAAAGACCAGGGAATGGTCGGCATACACAGTGGTCTGACACAGAGATTGACTTCGATCCGACGACGGTATACACCACTTCCTGGGCCATGATATGCGACAGGCCCATTTCCCGGATTTGCTTTGGATCGACACTACCTGGGAAGGATGGGGAGGGTGTGCAGCTTTCGGCCAGGTGGCGCACGGCATATGAAGACCAGCTCACTTTTGTCCTGGCGTGCGTCGACCCGGATACGGCTGAAATCGTCATCAAGGACGCCGCTGACCCCACCAAGGTCGTGATCACGCTCCCTCCACCAATCGTACAAAGTTGCAGTGTAAAGCAGCTCCACGCGGGGGATGACGAGACAGGATGGACCATGTACACTCGCAAACAACTTTTTTGGGCTATCGGAGGGTCGTCTCTTGCACGTACACTCGCCACTGTCGAGGACACCCTCCGCGTTCACCTGTCTCCTGCGGGCGAGGCCAGTTTGGAGCAGTTTCACATCAAAAATCGAGTTAGTAGCGGGAAAACGGGAAAACAGGACCCCACTCGTGCGCTGGAGCTCGCTTCTACCAACTCGCCAATGAAACTCGGGAGGTATCTACTTGCGCAGAAGGTGCGGTTCCCTGGTGACAAGCATAGTCACTTCAAATATGTTTGCTGGTTGGGAGTCTTAATTGGGGACGGGTTTAAGGTAGAGCGACAGCTAGGAGGGGAGCGACAGATCGCATCTCCAGGCTTTGTCGCAGCGTGGGGTGCTGCAGAGGATGATCAAGATAGACTCCATGTTATGGCCTGGGTTGGAATCGACAATCTGCTCCACATCGCTCTCAGCGATGATCCACAGCACGAGTTGGCTCAACTGCGGGTATTCGATGGGAACAGACGTTACTGTCCGGACGTGTATGGGTGTTTTCTGTGTCTTCCCAGGATGAAGAAGACGGTATACCGCGGCGTCACTACTATCACGTCCTCATTCGGGCTCATCCCCACTGCGATGGACCCCTTGGCCAAGGCGGCGCCAAAAGCATTCCGCATTGCCGACAAGGAAGTGAGAAGGCTCTGGTGTGCGGCACATGAGTAAGCAATTCCATTGTTTCTATCGTACACTGTGAATACTGACGCCCCTTTTCCATGCTCACGAAGACAGTCTCTTGCCTCTGAGTCAATCGTTAGCTGATGATGTGCTGTAGCCCAAGACGATGACCACGAACCCTATCCATCATACTCACCAGCGTCCTTTCTGCCGTCCTCAACTCATCCTTCCCATGCGTCTTGCTGGTCTCCAATTTGGCATCTTCCCTCCACAGATCCTTCCTCTTTTCCTTCAGCATCAGACTCCTGCGCCTTTCCCATCTCATCCATCAATTCCCTTACTCTCGCCCTCGAATCCTCGCCCTTCTCCTCCAACCACTTCAACTGCTCCTCCACCTCCCTCAGCCCCGTCTTCGCTACCTCGAGTTCCGGCTTCGTGGTCTGCAACGCCCTGCCCTGTGCAGTCCTATGCACCTCGATCGACGCTATCTCCTGCTGCAAAAAATAGATCCCTTTCGGCTCTCGTCCTGAACCTGTCCAATCTCCCTCTCTTTGAATGCAAAGCCTGCAATCTCCCCCTCGCCTGGTCCAACGCCCGGCGCTGTTCCGCATCCTGAGCACAGTGTGCCTCCCAACGTGGATGAAGAGCAGCGAGGGCAGATTCTTTGAAAGCGATGGATTCTTCGATGTGAGTGAGTTCGGATCGGAGAGTGGTGCGTTGGCCGCCGGCACGTTGGTCTGCGACTTGCTGATTGGTGACGAGGCATTCAAGTTTGGTGCGCGTGCGGACGAGGTCGTTGAGCTCGCTGGCTGAACCATGTTGGGTGAGCTTGAGCGTGCTCAGGGAATGTTTCGATTCGGAGATCGTCTTTTCGAGGGTCTGAGAGCAAAGCAAACTTCAACAAAGCAACATTTACGAAGTGGGAGAAGAACGTACTTGTATCCTCTGCTCCCGATCCGCAAACTGTTCCCTTCTCACATTCGCACCATGAACCTCTCCCCGCCTCTCCTCCTCAATCTCCTCCAACGCAGCCGCGACTTCCTCCAACTCCCTCTGACAAAGCGCGTACTCCAAACACCGCCTATCCTTATCTTTCTCCTCGAACTCTTTCAACTCCTCCTTCTCTTCTTCGAGCTCTGTAAGATGCGTGTCGATGTAATCGAGCAGTTCGCTGATCCTGGACCGCTTGGCCTCTGTCTCGGACATGATGCGGAGGGATTCGGTGCGGCGTTGTTCATAGACCTTAGTGCCAGCCACCTCTTTGAGAAGAGCGAGGCGCTCATGGTCTTTCGCATTGGTCAGGGCGGTGATCTAACGCGTAAGAGACGCCAGTCAATATACAGACGTGATGTATAGAGAGTAAAGGGACACAAACACGGCCTTGGGGGACGATATAGTATGGGTTCGACTTGCTGAACCCGGCACTCTCAAGAAGGTTCGTAACGTCGGCTTTGCTTGCGCCCTTCTTGTCCAAGCTGTGTTCGTCCTTATTCCAGCCGATTGCGCCTCGTAATAATAGCTCATTGTTCCCCGTTGGGAAACGATTGTCGGTATTACCCAAGCCGATTTCGACTGTCAATGGAAAGAAGGGAGCGTATGGGATCGATGTACCAGGAGAATCGTCAGATAAATTGTATGGGTGAATAGAGAAAGAGATGATGCACCATAGGCTGACATAGGCGTAGGGACACCTTCGTGGGGCGGTGCTGTTCACTCTTCTCTGCTCATGGAGGCATGCTATGTTTCTGAGCATGAATCGGATGGCTACAGATGGGGAGGTTTGTGTCAGAAATCAACACACACATAAATCATGTTCAAACAAGCCTCGTACGCGTTGAGAATCGACGGCCTCATCATATTAAGACCCATAAGTCACTATGCCGGGCGAAAAGGAGTGTATGGACATGAGAGAGCGAAAGCAAACGTGAACGACGCACCAGTGGCCACCCGCCACACAAACCGTGTGAATTCTGCTCGATAATCCCGAAAACGAAGGCGGGGGTCCATGCTCAAAGAAAAGAAACAAAAGAAATCATGTATGCACAATTCATTCGTAAACTGATGGAATCGTAACTATCGAAGATCAGACACACCTACGGAAGGCTTCAGCTTCGAACGCTTCGAATTGCCTTGTGAGCCCCTTCAAGTTGGGCCTATGGAATGCATTTGCCGCTCATTGCACTTTTCTCCTGGCAGATGGCTGTATCCGCTTTCACAGGTGTGTTCAATCACTTTCCGAAAACTGACTGTTCTTCTGCTTCTTCGACTTCGGTTCACATATTTCTAGGGCGCATTTCCTGGAGGCCTTTATCCGCTATTTGCCCGCCGGCGTGGTTCACTTTCAGAAAAGGCTCAGCGCATATTCTCATGTCACTCCGAGTGGACTCTCCCTTCTGTTCGACGACGGCGACGAGACTGTGTGTGATCTATTGGTAGGATGCGACGGAATCAAGTCGACAGTTAGGGCACAGATATTTCAGGACCTAGCCCGAAACGAACAGCCTGAGCTGGCCGACTTCATTGAGCCCATCTGGAGTGGGACCATCGCATACAGAGGGCTCATACCGGTAGAGAAACTCGTGAATCATAGAACCATTGATACCCCTATGATGGTGAGCTTTTTAATCTGACCTCATTGTCGTACGTCGAGGTGACTGTCACGGCCGATAGTATTGTGGAAAATCCAAGGTAATACTATTGATTATTCTTATCATTATGACACACTGACTTACAGCCTGTCCATAGCACGTCGTCAGCTACTCGATCTCTCAGGGTACTGTCGTGAATGTCGTAGCATTTGCTTCCGATGCCTCCAAAGAGGGCACTTCATACGATGGCCCCTGGATGACACCTTGTACCAAACAAGAACTTCTGGACTGTTACGCGAACTGGGAGCCTGAGTGTAAGGCGACAGCCTTATACCTTAGCGGTACCGGCGGGCGTTCCCGGGATAAGATAAGATGGGTGTGCTGGAAAGCGCATCCATCTATCTTGTCTGACGTAATACTGTATAGTTGTGGCTGATGCGCGGGGGCTGGTGTTGGACCATCGAGCGTTCGGAGTAGTTAGCTTTATCTTGTACACCTTTACGCTTAGTGAATCACTTTCCGTAGCCTCTGCAGGCTTACGGGTTCTGTTCTCTTACGAAGGACCTCAAGATAAACACCCCGACCTCTTACATTTTTTGAACATCCAAACAAACGGTACGTGATTCAATTTTAAC